AGTTAGTTAGTTAGTTAGCTTCATGCTCTTGTTTTTTGGTTATTTTATTTTAGGCTTTTGAGATATGGTAGCCATGGCTGTCCTGGAATTCACAGAGATCCATCTGTCTCTGCCTCTCAAATGCTGGGTTTAAAGGCGTGCCCCACCACGCCTGACTCCACTCTTTTTTTCTGGTAAGATTTATTTCTATTATTTTTAATTATGTATAGGTATTTGGGGGGGGGCAATGTGCAGGTGAGTACAAGTGTTTGATCGCATGGGGCTGAAGTTACATATGGTTGTGATCTACCGATGTGGGTGCTGAGAACCAAACTTGGACCCTCTGAAAGAGCAGCAGTGCTCTTAACTGCAGAGCCACCACCTCAGCCCTTTATTCCAGTTTTATTGTGTTGCTGGGGATGGAGTCTATGGCCTACAGAACCTGGGCAGGGGCAAGTACCATACAACTGAGACCCTACCCTTTCCCTTGGTTTTTGTTTGTTTTTATTTTGTTCCATTTGTTGATATATAGTCTCATGTAACTCAGGCTGGCCTCAAATTTGCTATGTCACCAAAGATGACCCAAAACTCATGATCCTCCTGCCTGTACCTCTCAAATACTAGGATTACAGACATGGGCCACACCTGATTTTTAGTAGTCCTGGGATTAAACCTAGGACCTCTTGCCTATGTGGCAAGCACTCTGCCAGCTCAACTACTACATCCCCAGCCTCTTGGTGTTCAATGAGCACATTTAAGAAGATGAGCTACACCAGGATGGCGGCTCACACCTTTAACCAGCACTCGGGAGGCAGAGGCACACTTATCTCTGTGAGTTTGAGGTCAACCTGGTCATACCAAGATAGCCAAGGCTATATAGTGAGACCCAGTCTAAAATCAAAACAAAATAACAAAAAAAAAAAAAAAACCTCCAACCAATCAAACAGAAACAAAACAAAAGAAGGAGGAAGGGAGGCAAAAGAGACTCTAGGAAACTTAGAATGGTCTGAAAACCATAACATGAGTTCTCGGTGTTCAGATCAGCCTAGAAAAGGCAAGACCAGCAGGAAGAGATGTCTGGTTGCCAGGAAGCAGCAGGGGATTTAGTTTCAGAAAAGAGGAATGTGGAAGAAGCCACAAGTAGGCACAATGCTCCACAAAGAAGGAGCCAGACACAGTTCACTGTTGTCTGTCTGTGTGAGCAATGCATAAGTGCTTTGTATCTGTGTGTCTATGTGTGTGCATGGGTATGTGTC